TACGCGTGGTTCTTAAGTACGGGCATTTAAAATTTTGACTAAATATCTGGCTGAGCAACTAGGTTAATTTTAAAGAACGATCGTTAGATGGAAATTGTATATCTATTTAATGCAAAATTTATGGTAATTTATGCAAGTGATCGCAAAAGGTAGGTGTAAAGCCAAAACTATTCATGCAGTTAATGACCTGAGTACTTCAAGTCCTGTGCAAAAACGCATGATCGCACGGGCCCGCCCGGTGCATTAATGACCTGAGTACTTCAAGTCCTGTGCAAAAACGCATGATCGCACGGGCCCGCCCGGTGCGTTTCAGCCTGGTTAGTTTTTTGAATTTCTGTTACCAGGTGTCGCTTTTTCCCACATTTGGAGAAACAAAAAGTGATGAACTTGAATTTATGCAACTTTATGGGCCGGAACATTTCTAATTATAATTTTTACATAGAATTAACACCTCCTTCGTAGAATTTTCAAATTCTTATTAACTTTATCTATAAAACCTCTTGTACTGTTTCATTATTATTTCTACTAATGTGTTCATTCCTTCTAAATAAGTAAAAAAAGATACTCCCTCTTTCCGTCCTACTTCCACCCTCTTTCCTCTCTTCCTCGTCCCGATTTCCTCATTTTTCCTCGCCTCCACCCTGATAATATTTTGAGGTAAAGCAGATTCACCTCGGGTTTGTATTTCTCATCGTCATTGCTGGTTCCCGCAACAGATAATGAGCAAGCTTCATTGCTTAGCATCTCCGCAGCGGTGTTGTTGGTATTTGACAACGACAAATCATCGCCAGCAAACGATCGTTTCTTGCTTTCGCTTGATGCCGTTGATGCTACTGTTGGTGGTTGCGTTGTTGCTGTTGCTGCTGGTGCTGCTGATGATGATGATGGTGATGATGATGATGATGATGATAACGGTTGCTGCTCACTATCAACAGTCTGATCATTCTCGTCGTTCTCTTTCTCATCGCTTTTTGTATCCAGCACTTCACGCAGCCGTGTTGCAAAATTTTCAATTTCTTCCATTGGCACTGTACTGTCGTGCACCTAAAATTTGATACATTATCAATTATGATAACAGTATACCCAGGAACATTCAGAACTCCGCAGAATCGTAATTTTTCGTGATTAAAATACCAAAAATCACTTCGGATGTGAACAACTCCCACCGTGATCTCTACACAATTGCATCTGTCAGGCCAATTTTTGTTTTGGTCCTAATTGGTTTGCCAAAGTTAGCAAAATCATGCTGCCAAAATCGAACACTCCGTTTTTTAAACTTACATAATGCTCATTCATTAAAAAGTCGACTATAGTTTCTGACCAGCTCAATGACTAGGCAATGGTCATTACTTTCTCCTACTGAATACTGTAAAATTTTGTCGTAACAATGATCAATGTGAATTAAACCCTAAAATTTTTGATCGATAGCCGCTCCATAAAACTGTGATGATGAGAGAAGTCTAAAAAATAGAAAAACGGAGAAGTTGCTAGCCGTATCAATGGCAAAAAGAAACACAGCGATAAAACAACAGTTGATCGATTAAAGCCAGGGGATTACCTCCTCATAATGAGCTTTGAGCACCCAGATACTGCTAAATGCTTTGTCGCATTGTTTGCATTCCACACGACATAGGTCCGGTATTGCATCGTCC